TTCCTGCCCTTGCCCAGCGTCGGCCGGCGAGGCCCTGCTCTCCAGCATACAGAAAGCAGCCGAGGTGGTCGCCAGCGCCGTGCTGCCCGGCCCACAGCTCCCGCCTCCCCGCCCCAGGGAGCTGCAGGAAGATGCCTACCAGCCCGTCACAGCGCAGCGCCGTGCTGCCCGGCCCACAGCTCCCGCCTCCCCGCCCCAGGGAGCTGCAGGAAGATGCCTACCAGCCCGTCACAGCGCCGCCTCCTGGCAAGAGCCGTGCGGGGCCGGGGAAGCCCCCTGCTGCTCCTGCCCACAGTGTCCGAGGTAGGTGCGCGGGGCCGGGCAGAGCAAAGCGGCTCCCCCAGGCAGCTCCGTGTGGCCCCTGCGGACTTAGGGCCTCGCATGTCCTGGCAGGGAGGGGAAGGTTGTCCCATGCAGTGACCGTGCTGGGGTCTTGGCGCCTGCCACGGGAGGATGCTTCTCTGTAAAGTGGCTCGCCACATGCTCAGCAAACCCTAGGAAGTGCCTCACGCTGCCCTGCAATGCAGCCACCTCTGGGGTGAGATACAGCCACCGTTGTGCAGCATAGAACACTGCTCCGCAGTCCAGGGCAGGACTAGCAAGACCCTGGTTTCTAAGGAGCGCGAAGTGTGGCCTGTAGGGTGCGTGTCAGCTGTCGGTTGATCCCTGAAGCGGGAAACGGGCTTTGAGTGCCTCTCTCGGGGGCTTCTCCTGCAGGGAGCCACCAGGCCGGGCAGGCGGGAGGCGGCTGGGAAGAGGTGGAGAGGGGGCACAGCTCCCAGAACTCCTCGCAGTGTCAGCAAGTGGGGCAGCGACGGCCAGTCGGCAGCCAGCCGGGAGCTGGGGGCTGTCACGGAGAGGTGAGCCGGAGAGGGCCCGGAGCCGGGTGGGAGAGAGGGAAGGGGGCTTCGAGCTAGTGGCGGTGGGGGTGCGGCTGGAGTTAAAACCAGCGGGCTGCCCCTTCTCCAGTCTCCCCAAAGTTCCTGTGGTGCCCCCAGCTTCTCGCCCAGGTAATTCAGTGCCCCTGTGGGTGCTGGGTCCCCTTTGCCCGGCGGCTCGGTCAGCGCGCTGCAGGGGCAGCCAGTCG